CACTGTATTTTGTGAGTGAGTGAGTGAGTGAGGAAGTCAGTGTTCAACTTAAATTGAATAACATAAAGACTCCTCTCAATGGGGGAACACTGCCATCTGTCTTTGCTATGACCCAAGGTACAATACCCAATGTCCCTTTAGTGTTAATACCAAAAATACACTTAAATTTACATCCAACAGAATTGCCTCTTTCATCCAAGCAAGAGTATATTGATGCTGCTACGATACAGACTCAACATCTATTGCATATTTACTATGTGTTAGTCATCATGCTAAATACTTTTTAGGGTTATCAATTTTAATTCCCGTTACCACCTTATGAGGTAGGTAGTATTGTTATTATTTTAAAGACTGAGAACGTGAAGCTAAGCAAAGTCAAGAAACTGGTCCAACTCTCAAACCAGAAAGCTGACTGTAGAGCCCACACAGTGGATTATTTGGTGCTGTGTAGGATTTATGTAAAGCCTTGAGAGAGAGATGAATTCAGAACAGAAATAAAAAGATATTTTAAAAAGTGTCACTCTCCCTGTTTTCTTATTTCTTCCAGTCCAGCATCTCTATTAAAAATAAACCATTCCTGAGATAATCATAGTAAAGACCTGTAGGGAGAAAGATCAAATGTGGCCAATGTAATTTAATCTGAATGAATAATAAAGCAGTTAGACCAAGGCCAGTCAAGTTTCATTTTCAAATTACAGGTACAAGACATTTTGTTCATCAAAAGATTCATCTGGCTCAATGCTAAAGCTTTTAAAAATAAGAGCCAAAGACAAATACCTTAAACATTCCACATAATTGCCTTAGCAGTTAGAACTAACTGGCAGAATCCTATGTAAAACAGTATTCACTTAGGTGTAAAAACTGTAGGCAACACTAACAATAAGATTACTTGCAGATAGGTGGTAATGAGGTCATTCAGGCAGATGAGGTGTCAGCAGGATATAGTTAAAGAGTAGTGAACGAACTTGGGTTACTATCTTGTAAGGAAGCCAAAGATTGTGAAATTTAGAATCTTGGCAGAGTTAGTCATTTGTAAAGCTGTTTGATACGTCAGGAAAAAAGAGAAAGGCACGTATCCTAGTACCGAAGTTTGAAAGAAAAGTAAAATAAGTCAAGATGTTTTTTTCAGGTTAAACTAGACACTATTTGAAAAAATTGAATGTGAAAAGCAAGCACTGAGAAGTATTCTCTACCAGTGAAGCTCTCTAATTCTGATATTCTTGCTTTTAAAGGCAGAAATTAATGCTTTTTTATCTATTAAACTCAAAGTTATAATAAGGGCATAATATTGTTACCATTAGGATAGTAAATATACAAATGAAGGAGCCCAAATATTTCTTTTAAATACAAGTAGATAAAAATTAGAATCACAATTTTCACATAAAGGTAAGTGCATACAATTACTGCCCAGTATTGCAATAAATTGATAGAGGCACATTAAAGAAAATTCATTAGCAAGTACGTTAAAATATCACTACAGTTCAACAATATGATAATAGGGAGGGACAATATTCAGGGGATGGACAATGTTTAATGGTTATCAATAAGCCAAAACAGCAGAAAAACCCCCATGAAAATACATTTTTATTGCATGTTTTGCTAGTAAATTCATACAATTATATCTGAAAGAGGATGGTGTGATGGAGAGCTTTTGACCTCTGTTTAATATCAAATATGCAATATTATTTCCTTGAGATAATTTGGGCTTTAACCTTCATTTGGTAATGTAAATGGCTTTGTCTCCCTGTGATTTTTGGCACTTTACTTCAGACTTGCTAATAAATCTCAGCAATTTTTTTTTTTAAGTGAATTGCGTGTGCTAGGAAGAATAAAAATCAATTTAATACACCAATTTGGAACACAGGCCTGAAAATTTTGGCTTGTGTGTGTGTGTGAAGGTGGAGCAACCATGGAAATAATATGTGTGATATTAAATTAACACCTTGATAGGCATTATGTAGGGTCTCCTAAAATTTTCAAATTATTATAATAATTTACAATTTATTGTAAATGTCAGTTACATAGATGATGAAGGAATATGGCTGGCTTTAGGTACCACATCTATCCTTTTGATCTCTTTCTTCCTTTTAGGCCACCAGTACTCTTACAGTGTTCCAGACTACCACTCTGGCATATTGGTACTTATAAGTACAATGAATACTAAAAGACAACCTTGTCCATCACATAGAAATTTTCATCTATGAATAATATAGTATTTGTTCTGGTTAGTCTATTGATTTTAAATCACATTATGTAACAATTTTAGCATGCTGAAGTTTATATCTAAAATAATCAATAAAGGAAAATAAGCATTTAATATTATTTAAATAATATTTCCCTTGTGTTGTGAAGTCAAGAAGCCCCATTTGTAAAGCCACTCAATGACAAATACGAAGTATGAAATTGGCACACTATGGAGATGGCAAACATCTGACGTCAAGCAAATGCAGGGCCATGCTTCTTCTTCCCCACCAGCCAGATCAGACCTCGCTAACTCATCCGGGTACTTTCTTTCTGAGAGATGAGATGCAGTCTTAGACATATGGAAGAAACTCAAGCTTCTATTTAACACTGCACTCAAGGCAGCCAAGAACAATTTGGGATATCTTTGGAAACACCAGCACACTGGTGATCACAACTTGGGTGACAAATTCAACCTTACCATTGAGAAATTACATGGTCTGTGGTGAATCATTTGACTTCTACATGTCTCATTTTCACTCTAAAAAGATGTCAGTGAAAATATAAAGATTTGATGTGATAGATCTCTTTTCTCTCATCAGTAGAATAGAGATTTTAAATGGTAGAAGTAGTTTTAGATAAGGAGCAAATACTATTAGCACTTAAGCCAGCTCACTCTTCAGTCTAATGAAAACAATTTTTCCATTGGTATTATTTTAGGAAAAAGTGTTACTAATTAGGAAAAGTGTCCCATTTTTAACACAATCTTTTTTTTTTTTTTTGAGACGGAGTTTCACTCTTGTTACCCAGGCTGGAGTGCAATGGTGCGATCTCGGCTCACCGCAACCTCTGCCTCCTGGGTTCAAGCAATTCTCCTGCCTCAGCCTCCCCAGTAGCTGGGACTACAGGTGTACACCACCATACCCAGCTAATTTTTTTTTGTATTTTTAGTAGAGACAGGGTTTCACCATGTTGACCAGGATGGTCTTGATCTCTTGACCTCGTGATTCACCTGCCTTGGCCTCCCAAAGTGCTGGGATTGTAGGCATGAGGCACCGTGCCTGGCCAACACAATCTTTTTAAGAGTAATTTTTAAATTAATTTTCTTTATAAAGTATACAATTGCATTTGATATTTAACTAAAATTTATCTTCCTTTATACAGAAAATACTTAGAAATTAAGATTATTTTAATCTTTAACATAAACTTAATTACATTATATCAGCAAAACTTACCACCATTTTTAAGTTTTCCTATGTTTTTTAAATGTTACTCCAAAAAGGCTTAGGGGGTCCAAATACTATAGGATTAAAATGAATGAGACCCCAAACCAGGTAATTTCAGATCTCTGAAGCCTGCATATATAACATTTATTACCAGTCCTCGACATTCACTATTTTTTTGTTGACATTCACTATTTCTATAGAATAAGATATGTTATTGCTGCTTTTACCTTTGAGTTTATTTTTGTATTGCAACTAACATTTTTTAAAGTTTCATATTTTCCATAAATATACTGTATTAATTTGACAGTATTTTTATTGAAAACATTTTCTATCTTTTTAATCAAAGTATGAAATTAGATATTTCTTCATTCAGGAAGACACTGATTACATATGACTATTAATTTTGTTGTTTTTTATCAATTATAATGAGAAAATATTATGTATAGGGTAGTGAAAAGTAAATAAATTTTGGCTGAGTCAATTTAGGAATATTCTAGCCCACTGAGCCTAATATATCAGTTCTTAAGGAAATAAGCAAAAGTTGTGTATAGAAGTCCTTTGGTATGTGTGGGGGATTGGTCCTATGACACGCGTAGATACCAAAATATATAATTGCTCACGTCCTTTATATAAAATAATTTTTTGCATTTAACCTATACACATAACCTATTTGCATATAACCTATGCATATCTTCCTGTATACTGGAAATCATCTCTAGCTTACCTATAATACTTAACGTAAAAAATGCTGTATAAATAGTTGCTACACTGTATTATTTGGGCAATAATAATGATAAGAAGAAAAATATATGAACACTTTCAGTAGAGATGTAACCATCCATTTTTTCCCCAAATATTTTGGATCTGTGATTGGTTGAATCCACAGTTACAGAACCCATGAATATGAAGGACTGCCTATATGTAAAAATACATGATTTAGATATTTAGAGATTTCTTAAGAATACAGCTAGAATCTATGCTGAATAGAAACACGAACTTGCTTTATTTAAAAATTCTTGAATGGAGACTTGAAGATTACTATTTATTTCCAAGGCTAACTGGTATGAGAATTGGGTGACATAAGCATTTTCCACCAAATATTACAGTCCAAAATGACAAGTTACACTCTAGTGGCAAAATATGTTCAAAAGGTTTTGGTATATTTATATGACAACTTGAAGAACATGGAACAGCAATTTTGTTCTAAAATATGTGTTGGATCAACCCACAATCTATGTCTACTTATTTATTTTCTTCTTATCAGCATTCTCTCATCAAATTATTCCTCAAAGTTCAAGAAAAGCATAGTAGTGTTATAGCCTCTTTATGTTTAAGGCAATCTTTAATGCCATCAACTCACAAAAGCTGTGAACTCTATATCTAGTGAAACGTAACTGAATTGAGAACAAAAGAAGTAACAGAAAATCAAGTAATTACATCTGTATCTTAACATTAGTCATATCTTGATTATCTGCACCAATGGCACCAATGGAAGGGATTGGCTACAAAAAATCATATATAATCTATTTAGTGGGACTGGGTCTATGGCCTTGTGCTTAGTAGCTGAATTTCTAATTGCCCAGTGTAACTTACTGCAAATGTGTTGTGAGGATGCCCATCACCAGAAGAGTGGCCACAGATACATAATTTTGTTTCTGGAAGCAATTCCTAGGTTAAACAAAGAGAATGAGGAGTTGGCTTTTTTTTTTTCCAATCTTAAGGCTTATACTAATAATGTACATTACCATTTTTAAAAATCATTTTTAGGGATTATTATCTTGGTAGGTCAAAATAGACAAGATTATTCCACTATTGTCTCACAGTTAACTAGTATAAATTTTAAAAATAGAAATAATTTGGCAGATGGAAAGTTAAATATTTGGATCATAATAAATTAACCTATAACTAAAAAATTCACTGATTATGTACCATGAACGTGCCTTAGGAATCTTTCTTCCCACTTGTAAGCTAAGAATCATAAATACTTCTATATATTTAAATAACACTGCAATTTTAGTGTATGAAATGTTCTTTGTTCTTAAAATGTAATCATCTCTAATTCTGAAAAAGCTAACCTCTGACTTGTAATCACTTATAACCAATACAAATGAACATGAATCCTGTCCTACCGTGTCATATGAGAACAATCACAATAATCTCTTTAAATAAATGGCTGTGGTTATGCATTATCATATAAAAATTATTGCCACTAAAATATATCTAAGACTATGCAACCAACCTCCATAATATCTGTTAAAACCTGTTGAATTGTACCATTTGCATTGAAAACTACTCTATATACTCAAATGTATAGTTTGCATTTTTATCTGTAAAAGCAAAGTGATTATTTATTGATAAATGACATGGAATGTCATTTTTTACCTAAGTAGCATTAGACATTTCAAAGATTTTGTCTGAAGGGCAAAAGGATTACACTGCATTTGAATAGACCATGTGACAACACATCCTTAGACTTCATGTATGATATGAAAGGATGATCCCCATTCATAAGATACACAAGGGAAATTATAACTATACCAGAAAAGAAGAAAAGCAAGGAGGGATGTGTTAAGGGTGTCAGGGAGTATTTGTAGTGGTTTGATGCATGTAAATATTACATCTTATAAATAATTCTTTTCAAATACATCTATGAAGTTCAGAGGTTCTGTTTAAGAAATGAATTGTATATGTTTTACATGATACATGCCATTTTCTTGAAGATAAGAGGAACATCAATTCAAACAGGAAAAAATGGCTTCCAAAATATCCTTTTCCTCCTGTTTCCTAGGAAGAAGTATGTCACCTGATGCTAGCAGATGAAGACTGAGGGGGGAAATGTTCAAGTTATATTTTACTGTCAGAAGCCAACAAATACATTTTCATCTAAATTATTTTGTCAACAGCCTTGTGGTACCCTTGCTAACCTTATTTGGCACCAGTGCATAATTAGATACACAGGGGTGTGACTCCAATTGAAGGTGTTGGCATTGTAGCACTCTGTGAAAATATTAACTATGAGGTTAACTCCAATTTTCTCTTCTTTAATTAAATGCACATGGTACTAATGAGGTAACCTACTGTTCCTTGATAGCACTAATTAGCTAAGAGGAGAGTACACTCTCACACTGCAATTTAAACCTAAAAATAAGGTTGAAATATGCTAATTGCAGGCAATTTAAAACAGTACAAGTTGAAGAACTAGTCATAATAAGAGAAACTGACTGCTTTACAGCTAGGCAGCTGTAACTTTGGTTAATATCAAAACAAGCCACATGATTTTTGGACTGCTATTTAACAAGGTCATAAGCATCCTTAAAAAATGAAATGCTATTCCATACCATAACAATAAACCAGACTAACACTAATAAAACCCTCAGATAGACATTCATCTACGTTAAAAAAAGTGATTGTCACAATAACTCCAAAGCTGCCATGACACTGTTTATATTTAATACTGAAAATTAAACTTTATAAATAAGTAATGTCAACTAAAATTATTTCAAGAGCACCTAAGTTAAATAAAATATTAATATTTGTGTCCCTAGCATTAACAAAACATGGTGGGATTATGAAGTTTTGTCATCCCAGTCAGCTCAGAAGGGATGATACAGAGAGTAAGTCTCACTCCTGGAGGAGGAGTACATAAACAGGAAATATTGAGATGATGTACAAGTACAACAATAAAAATACACAAAAATACTATGGAACAAAAGTGTATAGTTACAGATTTAAGGGATACAGATGCCAAAATATCAAAAGGATTTCATTAAAAAGGAGGTTTTCATTAGAATTCTACTAGTTTTGTAGCTCTGGGATGGAAGCTGCCTGAGGCTTCACCATGAGGATGTTTCCCATTCTTAGCTCAACTGACTCAGAAACATAATTCCTGTAAACTTAACCAAGTTCCAAACATATCTTCCTCAGATACTATCTCAAATATTTCCTAAATTTAACAAAGGCATAACCTTGACAAAAAAATAAGACCAGGAAGAGCCTTTTGTTTCATTAACAATGATATGTTTGGATTGGTACACAGTATATTTTTATTGTTTTTCTATCCCTAAAATCTATGATATATCATATTTTTATCAACCAGAAACACCGACTAACAAAAACACTCCTATCAAATCATTCCTGTTGCCAGAGAGAGAAATAAAGCATATTAAAATGATACTGTAATTCATCCCCATCCACAGGGACAAGAGACAGAACTGTCTGACACTGAGGGCTCACAGTGACATTTCCCTGTTCCTGTCACTTTGCATGGAAAATTATAAAACATAACAGTTAAACACTCAATACAAATAAAGAGTTAGAAGGCAAAATTTGTGAAAAGAGAAAGTCAAGAACAGTAACTTACACATAAAGTAACCTAATGAAAGGCAAAGGCTTTTAAGTAACTCATTAGTTTCTACAGTTGAAAGTAAGTGAGAATAAACTTTGCACTATCATTAGCCTGCCATCGTATCTTGCCAACAGGCTTGGTTGAAGAAATTGTGCTTTGAGAAACCCACCCAGGTTCTTCTCATGGTGTCCCTAAAGCTTTTTATGACAGGTGGAGACAGAATGTTGGTTAGAGATGCAATAAAACTCTGATCAACCATGCTTTAACAGATCCATGAAACTGCAGGTTTGTAAAGAAGTAGCAAGACGAATAAAATCAGACAGTCACTAAGAAATTGATCTCCTGGAGGCAACCTGACATACTCCAGCAAATCACAGGGAAACACAATGGGAACAGATATTTTAAATGCTTGCATCTGTTTCAAATAAGCACTAAAGAAACTTTTAACAGTGAAAAGGACAGACAATGTACTGTAACAGGCTTTCAACATAAACTTCAGAAGAAATCTATTCTTCAATTAAATGCGAATCATTGTAATTTTTTTTTAAAACAATAAAGAGTAAGTCATTTAGTGCTGAACCTAAGAATGCTGGCTCTGGAGATAGTCTGCTGAGCTTCAGATCTTACACTTACTAGTGGTGTGACCTTGAGCAAAATGCTTAGCTTCTCTTGTATTCTCTCTCTAGACAGAGGATAATAAGTAACATTATCAGAAGATTATTAAATATATCAATTGTAAAGTAATTAGAACAGTGCAGGTACCCATATATTACCATTTATTAGCTATATACTTATTTGTTAGCTGTCATTGTTGCTTCAAAATAGTACTCAATTTTCAGATAAAAAGATTCATTGTTTCTACTATGTATAAAATGCTAGTATGTATAATAAAGGTTGCAAAAATTCCAAAGACATTGCATCTGTTTTCAACCTATCAGTAAACTTCATGATACATATTACTCTCCTGTATGAATAAAGAAATAATTGTTTTCCTTTTAGAAACCTGGTGGAGCAAAGCAAGACGTTAATATGGGTGTGTTTATATTTAGTGACAAGGTGAAATGACTTGTAAGAAAGAGAATACTTTTTTTGCAAAGTTGATGAAGTGTAGTTTTCATAGAAAAATATATAATATATACACAGTATTAATATTATATATTGGCCCTTCCTAACAAATGAAAATATTTTAAATTATTTACTATAATTTGTTTTTTGAGATTGGTTGAAATGACCCTCACATTTTTCTTTAACATGTTTAAAACTTTAGTGTCTTATAATATTTAGGATAAAATAACATCTGAATGGAATAGTGGTTGTCTTAGTCCATTCATGTTGCTATAAAGGAATACATGAGGCTGAACAGTTTATAGAGAAAAGAGGCTTATTTGGCTCATAGTTCTGCAAGCTATACAAGAAGCATGGTGTTGTCATCTGCATCTGGTGAGGGCCTCAAGTGGCTTCCACTCATAGCAGAAATGGAAGGGGAAACACGTGTAGAGATCACATGATGAGAGAGGAAACAAGAGTGGAGGAAGTATCAGGCTCTTTTTAAAAACCAGCCCTGTGGGAAATAATAGAGTGAGACATCACTCACCATCACAAGGATGGCAGCAAGACATTCATGAGGAATCCACTCCCATGACCCCAACACTTCCCATGAGGCCCCACCTTGGGGTCAAATTTCAACATGAGATTTAGAATGTCAAATATTCAAGGTATAGGACTGGGCTACATTTTAAAAGTACAAAAATGAAAAAAAAAAAACAATGTTCAGCTAGTCGAGAAGTATGGACATTCTTCACATGTTATGAAACAAATCAAACTTTAAAACAATAACAAAAATAAATGGTTGATTGTTTTTCTGCCCCTCCAACTGTTTTGTTGTGTTTGCTCATTTGGTTGCTTGTTTCTAGGACATCCATCATATCTGATGGAAACTGTCCCAGGGACAATGTAGCTATTAGGTTGTACCAGGATGACATATTTTAGCTTTGCAAATTCATACAACTTCATCCTTCTCCAGTTTTAAATTTATGAAAAACAAATTTTAAATTTCATAAGTCAGACAGAGGAGATGAAGAAAAGATAAATGGTACTTATAAACTGTTTGGAGTATTCTACAAGACAGGTGGATTGCAGAAGTTGTTCTCTTGGGATTAAGTGCCCCAGAAGACAAAATCTGTATAAGCGCATGTCTAAAAAATTTTCACTCTTTATTCTGATGTAGTTAGCCTTGTCTTACTTTCTTTTGTGACACAGATAGAGTCCAAAACCTGTACAACATTGAGAAGACCATGGTGTGGACTGAGGAAGGAAAGTCCAG